GCCGCCGCCGCCGCCGCCGCCGCCGCCGCAGCTGCTGCAGCTCCAGCCCCGAGCGCGCGGCTGGCCCTGCGCGCCTGTGCGCCACAGATAGGGAGGGACGGAACGCGGCGGGTGCGGGAGAACGTGGACAATGCGAACGCCGCGGCCGTGGGCGTCCCGCCCCGGCCCCGAGCACATGGCTGCGGGTGCGCCCCGCAGCTCCCGGCGGCTTCCCTCCCAGACGCCCGGTGCAGAGGCACTTTCTGCGGCTGTGACAGGGTCGCTGAGAGCTGTCGGGAGGGACTGCCAGGCCACTGTCGCCAAGTGCGATTTCAAGAACTTTCGGGCGGTTTCCTCTTTGTTTGGGCACGCGGGCCACAGTCGGGTTGTTACCCCCAGGGGAGGGGCGCGGCGAGGCGGGGGTGGGAGTTAGGAGTCTGCCCAACGAGAGGCCGTGGACAGGATATTAGTGGAAATAATGCAGTGGTTGTCAGGAAACGCGAATGCAGCCACATGGCTACTGCCAGTTATGCAGCGAGGATATCCGGTGGCTGCAAAGTCTGTAATTTAGAATAAAAAGAGCTCTCTCAAGACCCGAGAGGCTGACCTCAGCGCCGCGTGGCGGTGGTGCGCCCGGCACCCTCCGTGGAGAAGGTCCAGGTTGTGACAGGTGGGGAAGCCTCTTCCTAGGGGATTTATGGCTTCAAAGACCCTGCCAGTACTCCCCTTCAGATTCATATTGCAAAAGGCAGCCAGCCTCTTCGCAAACATGGTTGGGATCCAGGACCTGGTCCGTTGCCTATTTCTAAAATTAACGGGATAGTATAAGTAATACTTGGAAATGTGTTCTCTAGCCCCATTTTTCGATGCCTATAATCAAAAAGTGCGGCTAAGATCTGAGATCTCTTAATATCATGCCTTTGCCAGCGATATCACGAACAAGGAAGGGTTAATTCAGGAATCGATGTGCATAACCTGGAAATATTGGCAATCAAGATTTTTTAGTTAATTTGCTGCTTCCAGATTAGCTTGTGTGCAATTTAGAGAACATGAGCAGTGTAGAATGAAGAGGGGAAGTGACCGGGCACACCTGTCTGCTTACATTGATCCTCTATTTAATTGCTTCTGGTGCCTTACAGTCTAGACAATGGAAAGGCAGTGGTCAAATAGCAGGACAGATGCCGGAGAAGGACTAAATTCTGGATCCTTTCTCTCCTAAGGAGGTAACACAGTCCTGGGAACCCAATCTCACACTGTGTCTGGACATAACTCTAAACAAGGTTAGTAGCCTAATTGCTTGGCCAGAACTTAACATTTGAGACGATTAGCGTAAATATAAGTCCTCCATGTGGGAAAAAAAGTCACTTTTCGTTATCCACCTTGAACACCTCCAGTGTTCTCTCTGTTCCCTGCCTTTTTTCTCTGTTCCCTGCCAGCATCTTCCTTTCCTTAGCAAGGATCTCCAGTCCCATGCCAGTGTATCCCTTTTTCCTCTTCGTGTCACTTCTCAAGGTTTATATTTGCCCCTTGGGCTCTGAAGGTTCCCCCACTGTGATAAGGGTTATGACAAGAATACTTGCGCAGCCCACTTAGGCGGTAACTGCACCTCCAAAGTTTGTTTTTAAATCCAAGTTCTCTCAGTGGCCTATTTATTTACAATATGTATTTTTAAATCCTCTTATGACTTATACTACTTAGAAAGGAAAGTGAGCAGATATTGACGGCCTAACAGATTTTTATTAAACAGGTTTAATAAAAAGTCATGGTACAAAACTTTTTGACTAATTTTTAAACTATTTTACTTTTTTACTAAAAGTCTTTCCCATGCGAACCAGTATCACAGAATCAATAGAAATGACTTGAAAGATAAAGGAAAATTGCTGTGGACCTTATATAAAAATGGTTCTATTTTGTTCTCCTACTGAAGGTTTTTAAAGGCCACCTTAATTTTTCAAGTTGTGGTCTTGTGGACTTTACAAAGTGGGTAATGCTATTTGACTGTTGTTCAAAAAGGCAGAAGTGTGTATCTGCAGTGCCATGGGGTTGAGAGGGATACAGGATTACACAGCTGTCTTCTTAGATAAATCTGACCTACTTAGCCTTCTCTGGAGGTATTTTTCATGCTGACTCATGAACAACAGGAAAGTTTTGGCCCATTAAGTAACATCCATGTTTTGAAGTAAACTTGTTCTCCAAAGAAGACTCCTGTGTCATTTGTGCTATATTTCCATTATTCCCCCGTAGAGAGTAGATACTCTGTTGTCACAGAATATTAGAGCTGGAAAAATTTTTGCTGTTAAATAGTAGCCAACTGCCTCATTTTACAGAAGAAGAAACTGAAGCCCAGAAAGGATGAGAAATGTCCAAGTTATAGTGGCAGAGTTATAAAGAAGTATGCATGAAATAATGTTAACTGAAAAAAATTGAATGTAAACATGAATTAACTTAGTATGCAAATTATATGCACAAGACTCAAGCATGGGAGAGGTACTAAGGAGATATCTTACTAGAGTATATGAATTTTAAATTAGATCCATATAAGTTAAAATGGTTTTTTTTAAAAAACCACACCTAAAATTGGCTAAATCTACACTTATTTTAAAATATGCAAGATGTTGACCATGCTTTTGACTTACTTTACCCTTGTTCTCTTTTTCTTAATGAGTATAGGTGAAAACCAAGAGAGTCTATAAATGTGAGTTATACCTCGACACATCCTACATAAAATGGACAGTGAAGCATCAAGCCCAAATCACCTATCTCTAATCCAGAGAAGAGTCAACACATCAGGTCACAAGGTGGTTGTGAAGATTAAATGAGAGAATGTATGGTAAGCATCAAGTATAGGTGATCAGTAAATGCTAGTAGTGATATTACTATGTATTCACATTGTGGGGACATGCCAGACCTTTCATGAATATGGTAAATTTGATACTGATATTCGATTACTTGAATTACCTATTCATTATCATTCACTGTCATATCTTTTATCACTCAGACATGCTAGAAATGGGAATGATTAATGAAAATGTACATGTAACAGCTGTTTGCTGGCTCATCTATGTGTACGTTTTGGGCCCCACCCCAATGGAAACAAAACTGAGTGTTTCCTCAAACCACCACCACCATCATTGCTGGGATCCAAGCCTCATCCTTGCCTGGAAGGGAATGCCCAGCAGGGATGGTTCTTGAGCATGGCAGAAACCTAGTGATTATGGTTAGGTACTCTTGAGATGCAAACTGCCCCCTGGACTCAAGGGGACCCTTCTTACTCTAACTTTTTTCCATTTCATCTCATCTCAGGAAGCCTCCATTAGGGGCATTGGATAAGTGTTCTCTCCATTCTCAAACTACCCTGTTGTGTTAAACAATTGTCTTTTTCCATTATGAGAACATCAAGCAATTTGGGGGGAACAGCAGTATTCATAGTTAAAAAGTCATTTTTCTCTCTGTTTTTTTCAAAACTCATAAAACTGTACAATAAAAAGGGTAAATTCTATTGTATATAAATTAAAATTAAGTTGATTAAATTAAAATTTTTAAAGAAAAAACTTTTTTAAAAAATTAAAGACAAATGTTTTAAAGGGGGGCTGGAATGTGATTTATACAAGATACGTTGAGTGTGGTCCTACTAAATGTTTAAATAAGATTAAAGGAATGAAACATGAATGAAAAAAAACAGTCACCTTCCCAGCCTCCCTTGCAATGAGAGATAAGCGACTTCTACTGGCATGGCTTCGAAGAAAGCTATTGTTTTCCTTACGAAAAGAAATAGACTCAGATAGTACAGGAGTTTTGCTCTATGTCTTTCCTCCTGCAGGAATATAGATGTGATGCTCAGAGCTTTGGCAGCCATCAGGCAAGCCTGGGGAAGAAAGCTACCTGCTGAGGGTGGGGATTGGAAAGGCAGAAGTCTGGATCCTTGATGGAATTATGGAATTGCTAGATTGTCTACTTTTAAACATTGTTGTGTAAGCAAAAGTAACCCCTTCTACTAGTAGTCAAGTTTTCCATTACTTGCAGCCAAAAACAATCTCAAGTGAGACAAAGAAAAAAGTCAACCAATACAAAAATGAAAGTAAACAATAATCATTAACAGTAGCCAGTCTCAAAGATATTAACGGAACGCTCATATGACAAAGGAAAAATAGCAAACTAGTGCTTGGTTTCTTTTACAAGTGCTAGTTAAAACAATTATCATGCATTATTTTATATCAATTAAATTAGCAAAACAAATAAAAGCAGCAAAAGTTCATACTGATTAGATGGCTGCAGAGAAACAGTGCTTGTCACTTAGTAAACTAGTTTATTCTCCAAAAGACAGTCTGCTATCACCCGGGCCATCACTTTAAGTCTATGTGAATAACACTCCTGGCACGTGCAACATACAGCTCTGGGTACCATCTGTGAGACTTTTCCTACCTTCAGTCTGCTTTGCAGCCTCTTCCTCCTATGCCCACCCTCTGAAAGTAAGAGGACCCCAGGGCTTGGTCCTGAATACTGTTTTTACTTTCTCTCTCTAGATGAATCCATCCAGCCCTGTGTCCTTAAATATTATTTATAAGCCAATGAGTCCCAAGTTATAATTTTAGCCCTAACCTGAAGTTCCACACTCATATATCCAACTGCCTACTTGCTGTCTCCACTCGAATGACTAATGAGCACCTCTAACCTAACATGTCCAAAACTCTTGAGTCCACCTATCCAAATGGGGGTTATATCCCAGTCTTCCTAACTTGCAGTCCCTGGCAGCGCCATCTATCCGGTTGCTCAAGCCAAAAGCCAAGGAGTCATATTTAATTCCTCTTTCCTTTACACACTTTAAATCTACCAAGTCCTGTGGTGCTCACCTCCAGAATATTTCCCATATCTATCCTTGCTTTCTTGACCATTACTCTGATGTAAGTACCTCATCCCTCACATGGACTCCTACAATTGCCTTCTACTGGTCTCTCTGCTTCCACTCTCACCCCTTACATCTCAGTTGTATAGAGGCCAAAATGATCTTTTTAAAATAGGATTCAGATTATATATAAAATCCTCCAGTGGTTTCCTATACAATTAGAATAAAATCCAGACTCCTGTCTCTGTCCTGCAAGGATCTGTGAGATCTGGCCCCTGCTCGCCTTTCTGACTTCATCTTCTACCAGTCTTCCTTTTGATAACTGCTCAGCAGCCCAGGGGCCTCTATGTTCCCCAAACCCACCAGGCTTAACCCCCATCTTGGGGCCTTTGCACTTGCTGTTTTCCCTACCCAAAAGGTCTTTGTCTTGATTGTCACGCATCTGGCTCCTTCTCATCATTTACATGGGGCTGTTGTATGGTTGTGCGTTGAGCGCCCAAGAAGTAGGGACTGAAATCCATCTCTCTGAATCACCAAACCAGGCCCTGGCTTGAGGATGCCTGGAGTGAGAGGAGCCGCCTTCTGATTCCAAAGACACTGACAGATGACCAAACCCTGTGCCTGTCATGCTTGTCCTCGTGGAGTGGGGGTCTTTTTCTAATAAAAATATTATTTCTTATGTCTAAGGAGAAGGGAGAACTAACAGTCACTGGGCACTCACTTTACATCCATTTCTTATGTAAACCTCGCAAAAACACAATGGGCTTAGTCTTATTGTCCTTATGTTACATGTTAGACACTGAGACTGAAAGGGGTGAATTGTTAATCCAGAGTTAAAATTGCATTCTAATTTCGTTGGACCATAGTGTCTCTAAAGATGAAGAAGCAAGAACTCACTTGGAAACTTCCATTTGTTTCACATTTTAATTCTACTTATTTTAGGATGTTTGTAGGAAGGTTAGAAAAATCTATGAAGGCCCAGTTATAGTCATTAAGAATAAGTTACTGTTGTTACAAATAGTCACAAAACATACCCCACCTATACACCCTCCAGGTGATAAATCAAGGTCAATATGAAATCCAGTAAAATCTGTCATTTTTCTTTTGAGTCTCCACACTTTCAGACATACAGATCTTGTCCCTCTACTGACTTTTGTAGATACCAGCTTAGAGTCTATTTGGGAAAGTTATTTATATAAACCTCTAAGATAATGACTGCATTAACTTATTTAAGCGTTTGACTTGTTATTAAAATTTTCTACTTGGGCCGGCTCCGTGGCTTGGCGGTTAAGTGCGCGCGCTCTGATGCTGGCGGCCCGGGTTCGGATCCCGGGCACGCCCCAAGGCACCACTTCTCCGTCCACCCTGAGGCCGAGTCCCACGTACAACAACTAGAAGGATGTGAACCTATGACATACAACTATCTACTGGGGCTTTGGGGGGAAAAAATGAATAAATAAAATCTTTAAAATTTTCTACTTGGGAATTCAAATGCAGACCAAGGAATAAAATTTATTTTTCTCTTCCTTGCTGTCTTTCTTCCTTGCTGTTGGAAAAGATATAGAAGTAGACTTCAGAAGGTTGGCAAGAATTGCAATTCCATAATTTGAGTCAATTTTTTGGTAGATGATCTTGGAAAAACTGTTTATTGAAGGTCCCACTTGAGCTATAAAACAAGGCCTAGCCTTAGTCTGGGAAGCAGAAATCGTATTTTTCAGCTCCATTTAACAGTCTGAAGTGATTCCATTGTAATTCAGCTTCCTCCGCTAGAAATAATGATAAATAACCCTCATATAGTGTTTATGACATGCCAAGTCATATCCTAAGTACTTTGCATATATTGAGTCATTTAATCCTTCCAGCAGCCCCACAGGGTATAGATACTATTATGATCCCTATTTCACAGATGGAGAAGTTGAAGTACAGATAGGAAGGTATAACTGCCCAAGGTCATAAACCTGTAAGGCTCAGAGCTGAAATTCAAACGCAAGCAGTCCGTCTCTGGAATTCACGCTCTTGACCACCAGGGCAATACCGCCTTTACACCCTCAAGTGTATAGGAGGGTAATGCTGACCAGTGTTGCACGGTGATCATTAGAAATGTATGCAAAGCACACTGAAATTGGAAACACTGAATAAAGGCAATTGTGGCACCAAGAAAACTAACAAATTATTTTTAAGAGGATGTCAATACTGCATAACCAACTTCTAGTCATTGAATGTGTCATGGTTCCAGAAACAATGGCGTGCTCAGTATTGGAAATGGGTCTGTCTAGGTGAGGTATTCTTGATATATTATATGAATTAAGTCATACGAACCCATGTTGCTGGAGGAACTCCCCAAACTAA